GTTAAAACAGGAGGATGGAGAAGCCAGAAGAGAAAAAACCTTCGCCCTTGAAGGCTTTGAGGCTGCCGTTCCTATCGTGGGTTTACAAACCTCACTTCGTGGGGTAAGGGGCGAGGAAAAAACCCAGCAGCACGCCAAGGTAGTGATGCTTTTTATTGGCATCTGACGGATACACAAGGACAGCTCCCCCCCCGGCCGGCGCGGCGGCCCGCCACCCCCCGTGCATCGCCCTCCCGCCTCATGCTGCTCACACCCCACCCGCAACCCCCCCAAACTCCTTCTACGACGGCTATTTCTTCACCGTAAAACTTCCTAATAAATCAGCACTGGTATTACGGGGGGGGCGAGTGGGGAAACACACGGTCTTTGTACAACAGAAACATTAGAAAAGGACACAAAACGTACCAACGAGCACTAACTTTGGCTTTGTTTTCCCTCCTGTTTTGTTGGTTTTCTTTTTTTTTAATTTTTTATTTATTTCCTGCAACCAGGGATTTGAGGCATCCCCCGGCTTCTCTTTGGATGCTGAGTTTGTCTCAGTTTCCTCAGCCCTGAGGAAATCCCTTTACTATGGCAATTGAAACCTGAGACCATGGCGATATTGTCCTGAAGAAAAGCGATTTCCAGCTGGCAAGGTACGGCCAGGTTGGCTTGTCAGACTGAATCGGGCAGTTTGTTTTGCTTTTGATCCGGGCACTCCATTCCAGTTGCCCTTAGTTCATATTTAAGTCGCTTCACCATAAAAAAAGGGACCAATGGAAACAACCTGACGATCACCAATGTTTAAACTCATCCAAAAGCATCCCTGTGGATGGCTTGGTCTGGCAGGAGCTGGCGCCCCAGACGGGGATTTGCAAACTGGAGCTGCCCGCTGCCGGTGACGTTGCAAATTTGGGGCAGTTTCCTTGGATTTTTAGTGATGGGAGAGCTTTAGGGCTCGAGACGTGGGACTCGCAGCCCTGTCGGGGCCAAGAGTTTCTAACCAACGGGTTCGGCGTGGGCAGCCGGCGGCCAAAGTGTCGCAGGGGTTGTTCCTCCAAAGGGATCCTTGCACTTCTGCTCCATGAGGGCAGGAGGCGTCGAATATCCCATCCTGGAGATCCAGATTCACCCTGTGCTGCTTTATCATCCAAAGCACAGGGAGCCAAATTCCCAAAAGCTTTTGAAGGACCTGGGTACTCAAATCCTATTGACGCCGGCTCCGGTCCCTCGGAAAGCGCTGAGTTCTCCCTCCTGACACCCGGCAGCTCTGCCAGGAACAGCCGAGTCCTTTCATGTTCCCAAGTTTCTCATGGACCTGCTGCAGCGATTTTTTGGGGTGTGCACGCTTCCCTGCCTCCCCGTTAAGTCTTTAAGGCCAGAAACGTGGTGGGACCGAAGGCTTGGGCTGCAAAACGAAAGCTCGCCTTGCAGGTGAAAAGGCTGTGAGGAAGAGCAGGGGGGTGGGGGCGAGCGCCGTCACCCCATGTCACACGTAGAAACATCGAGCAGTTAGTAAAATGACACAATATTATTTACAAGTCTTGCTTATCTCCTTAAGCAAGGGAAGGAAAATCACCTTCTACCTTCAGGAAAGAGTCTCTGAATCCGAGGGTGAAGGGGGAGTCTGTAGGCACAGACGTACCTGGCACTGGTGCCACGCACCAGCTCCACTTGCAGTCCTTCCTCTGCAAAAACCTCATGATGCTCCAGGCAGGCAAGACATCAAAGCCGTAGCTGTGTTGGGGACAACCCCCAGGACCACGCTGGTTGCCCGCTGGCAGCTCACGGGGGAAACAGGGTGCTCGCCTGCCTGGTGGCTGCTCGCCAGCATCACCCACGAGTGAGCTGGGTTCTGGGTGGGGAGCTGATATGCAAAGAAAATGCACTTCTGGCTCTGGAGGTGGTGAGTGATGTCCCCTCCCCGGGGTTGAGGTGGGGTCCCTGCAGAAGGAGGTGCTGGGGCCACCCAAGGATGCCCCAGGGAGGCAGTTGGTGCACCAAGGGTGGGCAGCCCCCTCTGCATGCCCGGACAGAGGTGAAGGGCCCACAGGGGAGCGGGCAGGGGCATTTCTGAGCCACCCTTCACAGTGCTGGAAGAGAAGGAGCCCTTACAAGCAGGAGGTTGGGACCACCAGCCCTGGCCAGGTCTGTAGGTGAGGAGGCACAGTGCAATCGTGGCAGGGTGGCTTTGCTCCCGGGTCGGTGCAGCGCAGGGATGCGGGAGCTGGTGCCGGGGGAAGGATGAGCAGAGCCCTTTTGTCGTGTCCCCGCCATGGGCAGGCACTTTTTCAGCCCTTTAGACCTCCAGCATCCCCCCCCCCATCCCATGGAGATCCAACGCTGGGGAAGAGGTGGCACCCAGATGTCTGGTCTTCAATGTTCAGCTGGTCCTGGTCGCTTCTCACTGAGACCAAACGCCGGCAGCTCCGTGGAGCATGCGTGGGTGCTGCGCCCCCTGAATTTCACAGTGTAGGTTGAGCTGTTGGAAGCCGAGTCCTTTCCCCCAGCCCACCCCTCACCCACAGCACAGCCCCACCGTAGGACCAGCCCCCTCCCCAAATCCTGCTACAGCAGCTCCAGTTCCCTCCGCGCCCACCCCAGCCCTGCCCTTCCCCTGGGTTTGGGGAAAGCAGCTGGATTTCAGGGCGTTGGAGGGGAACAGGAGATAGCGGTGGGGTGGGCTGAGGAGGAAGGGCAGGAGGAAGAGGAGGACTGGAGCCCCAAGGAGGAAGGTGAAGGGGCTGGAAGGGGAGAGAGGAGAGGGCTGAGAGCGCGGTGCTCGTGCCTGCAATGTCTGTCCAGCCTCACGGGGCTGCAGAAGATGCTCCGGCAGCAAACGGGCGTTGAGTGGGGCTGAGCCCTGCGCCAGACCCGCTTACGGGCTGCCGGGGGGAGGCGGCGTTGGGAGGGGGCGATACCGAAAACAAGAGCTCAGTGCATAAAGGACTGTAAATTGGGGGGGCCCGGGGAGCCCCCGCTTCCTTCCTACCCTCCTCTCTGGGTCTCTCGGTGCCAGGGAGGGGAGAGGGAAGGGGGAAGGGGACCCCGCGGGGCCACCCCGGGCCACCCTTCAGACGGGAGAGGTGGCAGTGGACTCGCTGTACAAGCTCTCGGCGATGTCCCCGCGCTGGATCTTGCGCAGGGCAGCGAGCAGGGTGTCGAGGGTGGCCGTCTCCTTGGAGGACCAGTCGGCCAGGAGAGCCCGGACGGGCGATTCCTCCCGGGTGAAGGAGTCTATGAGGTCCTCTTTGTAGCCCAGCTCCCCGGCCAGCTGCCTCCACGTCTCCTCCGCAGAGCTGCTCAGCAGCTTCTCCACCTCCTCCTGCTTGCTGGGTGGCAGGGTGATGTAGAGGTTCCCATCTCCCTTGGGTGCTGGGAAGGACGAGGTGGTGTTAAGCCCATCCCCGGGGTGCCCTTGCCCACCCTGCAGCACCCAGTTTGCCCTACCTGGTCCCTGGGTGCTCTGGCTGGGCGGCTGCTGGTCGTGCAGGCTTTGGCTGTCCACCGAGATGCCGCTGTCGCTGTGCAGCTTCTCTCCCTCCGGCGAAGGTGTCTGGTTCACCGGGCGGTTGTTGGCCCCTTGTTTGTTCTGTTTGCAGTTGTTCCACCTGCAGGGAGAAGAGCGGGGAGGTGACAGCCAGTGGTGACGTCCCCCAGGCTGGGAGCAGATTTGTTGCTTTTCCCTCCCTTTCCTGGGATGACTTTTCCCAGGGAAAAGCATTTCTCCTACAGTCTCTGATTCTACTTCTCCAGCACGGTGGGCAGATGGGTTTAAATCAGTGTTTGAAGGTGCCAAGTGAGTGCTGAGCTCCTGAGCTTTGCGAGGGACCAGGGCAGGGCTGCATGGATCTGCTGCAAAAATGCAGCTGCACTGCTGGAGCATGCAGAGGTCCCGGGGCTGCCTGTGGGTCCCGTCCCGTCCCTCCCTCAGGGTGCCTCCAGCCCAGGGTACCTGGGGAGCCGGCCCTGGCCTGCCCGGGGCCAGGTGCAAACCCAGCGTGTTGGGGATGAGCCGCTGAGCGTGATCGTCTGCGACGGCTGCCCACAGCATGCCAGAAAGAGCAGGGGCCAGGCAGGGAGGGGCTGCAACGAGGGCTCCCCCACCCTGCTGCCATCTCCTTCTTTCACCCCTGATTTCTCATGAAGTTTTGGAAATCCACCTCCTACCCACCCAGCCTGGTCCCATCCCTCCCTTGTTGGTGACAGCTCCGGCTGTGGAAGCTCTGAGGTGAGGGACGCAGGCTGTTTCCCACTACCCAAATCCTCTGCTGTGACCCCACGGTGCTGTCTTGGTCCTCTACCTTTTGAAAGCGATGTAGGCCACCAGCCCCACCACCACGGCCGCCAGGATGGAGCAGTAGACGGGGATGAGGTTGTCGGCAGTGCCGCGGCTCACGACGGGCTGCGAGCTGCCCATGACGGTGGTGACGGTGTCTGCCAGGGTGCTGGGCATCACTTCGGTGTTGAAAGGGTCCCTGGTGACGGGTTCAGGGCTGTCAGAACCCACCAGGGATGGCGCGTGTGTTGTCCAGCGAGGGTGGAGGTCTGCCAGGCAGGAGAAAAGAAAGGAGAATAGTCATGCAACTTGTAACGGGCTGTGGTGGGTGAATTGGTGAAGGGACAATGCTCTCTGCAGGGATCTTCTTCCAAAGGCTTCAGGGCTTGCAGATGTGCCAGCTCTGCCCCATCCCCTTGTCCCCAGGTTTGTCCTTGCAAACCATCTCATCCCCTGGTGCCAGACAGCACCAGCCTCCCTGGTCCCCAGGAGAAGCTGAAGCCAACTCCTGCCCCAAATGGTTGGTGGTGCCTGGTCATGGCTGGACATGGACATGGCTTTGGAACATCTTCTTTCCCAGCACTGGGTTTGCTCGAGTCCTGCAGCTCTTCCCACCGTCTGCCCACCCAGACTGAGCCCCGGGCTCCCCATCACCGGTACCAAAGCCCAGGGAAGCAGCCCCAGCTGCCCCCCACCCACCGCACATCTGCACTGGGACATGTGTCAGGCAACCCAACTGCCTCCACAGCTCGTATGGAGCCCGGCTCATCCTCTGCCAGCAGCACCAGG